TGGCAAAGAGTTTTGAAAGTCAGCAGTTCTCTTTGCGAGCGGCGTGCCCGAGGATTTTCATCTCGTTTGCGACCTCACCTTCGACGTTTCTGGGGTTTCGGTGGGCGCGCGCTTTCCAGAAGCTTGCACCTGGTGTGGACCTCAGGGTGGTGAAAGGTCTGAACTGAACCAAGACAAGATCCCTGAGTTACTTGTAGACCATTGTAGACCCATGCAGATTCACAATCATATGCCGTTAACCGTTAGCCTCCCCAACATTTGGAAACGATTTATCCAATGACGGGATTCATGTTGATCCTCTAGACGTCCACAACAATACACACGCACATTGCCAATTGAGGTTTGCACCACCAAATCGGAGATTGGGGGGTCACCACCTCCCGAGATCTCAGGTATCTTTTTGGGATAACCAGCCAGATTTTAGTGCCGGGACACGGTTGGGTCCAGCATATCATTCCAAAAACCCTCGGCTCCGTGGATGATGATGCGGCCCGGCTGCAGGCCAACACTTTCTCTAAAAGAGAGAAAGACGCTTGTTTGCCGATTTGTTGCTGGTTTACTGGGACACCCCCAATATATGCGGATCCATATGTGCAGACCATATATGGGTCTTGATGGTGTTGTATTTTTCAAACGTGCCGTGTCCAGCTTTTGTAGAGCTGGGATGATCGACTGAGGCCAAGCATGCGCCATAGTCCCCATAGTCAACAGTCCACACACCCCATATACATCCTCACAAGCTTGTGAAAGACTCCACGCCCACTCCAAACACCACACGGCATATGGCAGAGATATGCAAGGATAAGTATCACGCATGGCAGTGTCCCCGGTATCCTTACCTTCACGTGTTCCGGCGCAAAAGAACCGCCGAGGCGCCATAACTTTCGGTGGCTTCTGAACCTTTGGCGGAAGCTTCCAGGATGCAAGTCTCGTGCCCGATCTCGTGGTCGGCAAGACTGAGAGGGGATCGGGTCATTGCGCACATGTACCACCCAAAAGACTACAGTTTTTCCCAAATAGACAGAAACAGTTTCCAAATCTTTCCAATGCATTCAATTCTTAGTGGGGATGTACTGCACTTTTCTATGCATTTGGAGCGCAAGAAATTGAATATTGCCTGGATCGACCTTAAAAGTGTAAAATCACGCCGGAGACGCACTTTCGCAACATGTGCGCGGGAAATTGGGGAAGATGGTGTCAGTGAACCGCGGGGAGAGAGAGTTCTGATGCACCCGCTTGGCGTTTCAGAGAGCGCTCCGGCAACACGAGTCTAGTGTTCTCAGCCAATCTTGGTTTGATGAGTTTGAATGTCTTGAGGCAGTGTAGAATGTCTTTTTGGATTTATTTGAAAGATTGTGCTGATTGAGTGTCAATTGCACTAGTTTTTGTTGTTGCCGAGCTGCAACATAATGGCCAATTTTTTGCAGCCTGTGTTTGCTGCTATTCAGAGGTGGCATTTGGGCTGGCATTCAGAGCTGAAGCAGTTTGAAGACCTCCCACCAAGCCAAGCAGAACCTGAACAAGAGGGTACAAAAGTGGATAGTCCTTCGCACGGGCCGGGCCGGGCCTCGGGCCCGGCCGGGGTCAAAGGTAGACCCGGCTATCCATGCGCTGGTCCCATGTGCAGTCCGGAGCGCTCCGCGTTTCAATCCCGGCGGAAGGTGGTCGGCAGAGTCATGACTTGAGATGTGTTGGGATCTACCTTCATCATTGCCCTGCAAGTCCAAACGCCCAGTAAAACCTGGTTTTTGACCTTCTTGAGTATTGGATTTGTATGACCATCTCCAGTAAAATGAGGTCTTTGACTTGTAGGGTTGTAACACGGCAAGCGCTGCAAGCAAGTTTCTCTTATTTGGGTCGCGGGGCACTGAGGTATTAAGCATTTTTTAACGATACAGCCACAGCCGCAATCATTGTCGATATGAAGGAGGTGGTAGGTTGATTATGATTGTTTGTCTCAGCACCTTGCTTGCAACATCATCATGGAGCTCTCATGATTTGAACGTCATGGTGAGAAGCTTGTCTTGGTGCACATGTGTTTCCTGACTCGGTGACTTTCCCTTCAGCCCATCGTTTCCTTCAGTGAACCTTCTTCAGACCGCGCATGACTCATGACCACCGACCACCTGTTGCTACACGTCGGCTACGTCGTGTAGCATGTAGTCGGGTGGCTGGCAAGGAGGGTGGCCACACGAAAAAGATGGCCGTGGTTTTGCCGGTTGAGCTGAAATCATTACCATCCCAGACCAGACGTGCCAAAGGCCTTGCCCTGTGGAGTCGCCACAGCAACTGCCACAGTTGGATGCTGAAACGATTCAGCTTGGGAGGTTTCCATGCATGGCTCCCGAAGCAAACGCACCGTGGAAAAAAACATGAAAAACAACTAGATTTTGCAAAAACGACATCAGCTTGATATTGTTTTCGTTTTCGAGTGCAAACCGAGATGTGATTGAAACAGCATTGGGTTGTTGCTTTGTTTTTGCATCCAAGGTGAATCCACGTGAAGTTCCTGTACCCAAGTGGGTTTCCTAAGAGGAATGTCACTGGTGTAGCAGTGTTGCCGTAAGGAGGCTTTTCAAGAGGCAATACATACCTCTCAAAATTCTTGGAAGACATTCTGGGAGGTGGCTTTGCATTGTGTTTAAATCACATTGGGGAGGAGGCATTCTTGCAAGAATCCAGCACCACCAGCCGGTTCGGGGCCACAGTGACATGCCCAACACATCCCCAACACCATTTCTCGAGTCGAGAGCCAAGTTCGGGGACTTGAGATGGATTTGAGTTCGGGTGGAACCTGTTTTTGGAGGCCTGCCTGCCGGAGTTGGAACCGAACGGCTAGAAATGCACCCATCCAACCAAACACGGTCCAACATATTTGAACCACAATTCCTGGCTTAGAAAGACCGTGGTCGGTTTTTAGAAACACTTCGGCGTCCCAAGTGGTCACAGTTCAGTGGATGCGATTTTCCATCCGGTGTCCCAAACAAGGTAGTGTTCCAGGAGAGGCGGAAAGATCCTAGTCATAGAAGCATGTACGTACATCCGACCTGGGGAAACATGACGCAGAACATAGCAGAATCATGGTCCTTCTGAGGATTGTTCGGGAGAAAAAGCTCAAGCCAGAGAAATTGACTTTGCATGTTGCCTCTCAGATTCGCCTCTCAGAGCCGCTCGGAGCTGCCCATGCCCAGCTATCCGATATTGGATGCGGAAAAGGGCCCGTTCTGCCGGTTTCGAGACCAGGTCTCCATGGGGTTGTCCAGTCTCTAAGGTTCCCACCGAAAACAGATCATACAGCAGTGTAGAATGTGTCCCAGTAATTATGCCAATAACAGTCGGTGAAATGATAATAATATACCAGCACCCTCCAACAGGCTGTTAGTTGAGGGTTGTTGGACCCTAACAGGTCTCAATTGGTGACCTGTAGAGTCGGGCCCTGGTATGAGTCTATGTTTGAGAATGGCTTGCTAAGCATCGGCGCTGGGAGGTTGGGATAGATGTGCCCAAGAACGACGACACAAACGGTCGCGGACGACGTCCGGCTTCCAACCCTCACACATTTCACAAGAAGTTCCGACCCTGGTTGCTTCCTGCTTTCTCGGCCGGGGGTTCCAAGAAGTGCCGAAGTTGGGATTTGTTTGTCATTATCCTGAGACTTCGCATCTCCAGCGTGTGCAAGGTAGGTGTCACCCTGTCCAGGGTGTCACCCTCAAAACAGATGTTACAGCTAAAGTAGATACCAGCTTCACTACCTGGGGGAGTGAAAACATCAAAACACATGTTCAGAAGTTTTGTTGTATGCAGTGGGTCTACAGGACCTTGACTTGATGGGTGACATACACCTATACTATAACCTCACTCGCCTTCTCAGATTTTTTCGGGTCGAATCAAATTGCTCTTCAGGAGAAGCAGAACGCCCTCAATGAGGACGGGTCATGCTTGCTCGCATATATGTTCAGACAATTCGGCATTCCACATATAATTGTGTACTGCCCGTACGTGATGCCTCCATCCTACCTTGGAGTGAAAAGCTGCAGAAACAAAAACACATGTTCCAATTTCATCCAATTCCCGGATTAAAAAAAACAACACACATCACGCTTGAAAAGTCCAAGCGAACTGCTCAGTGAACTCCAAGAAGCATGGCAAACCAGAAGCATTAATGAAACATGTGAGCACAGCCCTTCTGTAAATATCAAAGCAAACAACAAATCGCCACTCCGACTCACATCCCTTCAGCGTTTCGACCAGTACTACCCAGACACCACATCCCTTCAGCGGCTGATGTTCGAGTGCCGACCGTTTGGGATCCGAATTCGACAGGTGCGTCTTTTGGCTTCGGTGTGCCATGAGAACGTGGTGGCCTATAAAGAGGTCCGGCCTGGAAAAGCCTTCAGAGCGGGGCAATGGGTGTGTAGGGGGTCGACGGGGGGGGATGTGGCACCACGTGGAGCCGAGCAAAGGTGCCATGTGTGAAACACTGGGCAATTGGTTCGTTCAGATGGATGTTTTGTTGGGATTGTGGTGTTTTGGGATTCATTGAAGTTGTTTGTTGGTGTGTTTGGGGTGGTTGAAAGAGAACTTGAAAGAGAATCCAGTCATGAATCACCTGGACCTTGGGTGGTGAGAGAGTGACTTCCCGAGGTTTGCTTCGATGACGTCTCAGGGGGTGAACCCCGCTTGGGAGTCGGGTGCATTGACTTCTGACGTATCGCATGTGTCATTTTCTCTCGAAAAGGACCGGTTTTTGAGACTCTTGCAACATGGGGTTTGGAAGGATGCTGAGGAAAAAAAAAACATCTGAACACACTGAACACACAGATCCAGAACAGGAGAGGTTCCCCCCGAAACCGGCACCTCTTCGTTCACCGGGATGGCAGACACCAGCAGACTCCCCACGAGTGTTCACCCGACGATGGAAAAACAGACACGGATCGGCATGGCGACTCGGGCTGGTCGATCTGTTTGGGCTCGAAGAACTCCACCAAACCGTCATCCTTATGGCGCGGCTCGCAGCTGGATGCTTCTGGAGCTGCGCCGCCATCTGCTGGGCCGTCGGTTTGCCGGCGAAGGGTGAGAAGAGTGACCCGAAGGATGGCGAACGAACATGCTTTTTGCTGATTTTGCCCATGCGGCAAGAATATCTTCCGTATGCATGCCCAGGTAAGGAGTTCTTGGTGGGTGCCCACCATGCCACCAGCAGCGAAAGCAGAAGTTGATGGGTAAGGGGCATCCTCAAAATATGTTCATGTGTCACGCGTCTAGGTACCAGGATTCCATTCCTTCTTGTTTGCTCCTTGTGCTGGGGGTGCTTCGGCTTTGCATACGCATTCAGGCAGCCCTGAAGATTGCGAGCTGGAGATTGAGCAGAGCCATCAAAGCCTGCTGCAGCATGCCACTCTGGTCTCAACGGAGAAGAAGCAGCAGAGCTTGGTAGATTCTGCAACGGCCATTTGCGACACAGTGGACACACCTCCTCCTTCACCCCTTTCTGATTCGATGAACAATCCTGGCAGTTTCTATGTGGCTTCATGTTGCAGCAAGAAATCGTTTGCTTTATGTTCGTTGTTTGCCACGGGCACAGCCAGCATGAATATATATATATATATATAAGTAATAAGTAGATATACCCGCAAGGAGGACAGTGACAGATTGTGACATTTGCTTTGTCACTCTTGCAGTATATCGCGCTCGTCAATGACACCGCCTTCAATCCTTTCTCCATCAAACTTGTGGAGAAGTACAACTTGAGGACCGGATTTCGTCATGGGCATCTTCCGATTGAGAGTGCTGAAGCTCTGCGTACACTATATCCATTATTATCCATTATCCATATAATTACACCATTCAATAACACATTCAATGAACATAGTCTACCTCATTGCCTGTGACACGATTCACAGGCACCGCCGTCATGCCTTTTTCAATGCTCTCATGTTCTTCTCGTTCCCTGTCGACTTTCAGCCCGGTCCACAGGGCTGTTTGGGGCATTTGCTATCAAAGCAGGGGTATGCTTGGCCCTCGGTGGATGTTTTGCTAGTTTATTGATACTGGTGTTTACATGTGTTTACTATGTATCACATGTGTGATTTAAGAAGACCAGCATCAGAGGGTCCCCCTGCAAGAAGGGGAAGGGAGCCAGAACATTCCAACAGAGTGGGGCTTGCCCATTAGATCCGCAGCCAATCAGAGACCCCCTTCCAGTGCATGCTTGTTCATTTGGTGGTGTAGGTCATGGGTACCTTTCCCATGATCCCTTGACTTGGTTTGGTTCTGTTTCGTTTTTTAAATGTGGGCTACCATCCACGCGGACGACGCTGGGCTTAAATTGACAGTCAGCAGATTCTGGACAACACCTCCATACTCCCTCTCTACCATGTGGGCACTTTAAGCCGACAGTCTTGATTGGGTGAATCTGAGCTCTTCCTCTTTCTTTGCTGGCAGAATCCGCTTTCATGGTGGTACGGGCAATATGGAAGCCTGGTGGATGGAGAACGAGGATCCAGCCACCCCGCTGCCCGGCCGAATTGGGAGTGTTGAAAAGCTGTGTGGAAGGTGCTTTGGTTTGGATAAAGACTGGGTGAAGGAGTGAATGGAATAATAGTTGTTTTGGGTGAAGCATGGTGAAACAACAGATTAGGATTTTTGGCATCCAAGAGATGCAACATAGTTATAAGGAATTTAGGGGTTGGCATTTGTATCCTTCGGCAAGGGTATTTGGAGGATGGATTGAATTCGACAAAGCCGAGCTCGAATGATTCAACTTCTAATGTGGACTGACTGGTCGCTGCGGAGCTCTTGACTTTATAAAGCCTCCGAAACAGTGTGGTTTCAGAGCAATTAGCTGGCAAAGATGTAGAGGGGGTCCATAATATAACGCTACAAGGCTATACTATTCCAGACCATGAACTAATAGAACGCTTTTGAGGACTGGGAGATGCCAGAGGTGATTTCTTGCGAGGCGTTGTGTCAGGAAGCTCTTCTCATGCTGAAACCAACCATTATTATTTGACGATTCTTTGAGGACTCACATTGTCTGATGTACAATGTACATGTATGTACATGTATTGTCAGTTTCACCATCTACAGTTGGCAAACTGTCACAAACTACTGGTCGACATTTGTACACGATGTTCACATGGATCCAGCAGTACACCCAGGTTCTTGCGCTACCCACCGAACTCAAAGAGTAGGGCACCTCTCCTCAGTGCTGCTGTTCCAGGCTGCCAACTCACCCCAAAGCGTAATAGAGGATATGGCTAAGAGTAACATAGCTGTGCCTGGTTTCCTTTGCAGAACTTCTCGTGGGCCGAAACAAAGTACCCCTCTGCCAGATGGACCTATTTGAATGTCTCGCGGCATACCACGCAACCGTTGGGCCTCGGCGCACTCTTCGTGGACCATTTGGGTTGCTTGAAGAACCACTGCACGTGACTTGGGCAGGTTTGGGATGGGCGGGTGGTGGTTGGAGGAGTTGGTTTTGACTTTCTGAGATATGTTCTCTATATATATATACACTCCCGAAAACTAACATGGAAGTGGATGGCACCACCTGTTTGTAGTGGATTTCATGGTCTTCCAAGGGGCCATTCTCCACTTCCATGTTAGTTCCAGGGAGTGTATATATATGTTTCTATTTATGTTTTATGTTTCTCTATTCTTTACAAATCATTGTCTGAGCAATTGTTACACCGAGAAGTGCGAATTCATTCTATATTCATTCTATAAGTTGCCTTCTTTTTGCTTTGCATGCAATCATCGGGTCGGCCAGAACCTTGTGGTGTTCAGAGAGTCCATTATTCATCTTGGATGAAGACCGTCGACCATGTGCAAAACATGCCAGCTTTTGCAAATATGCGACACAAATCCCGATGGTTTTGAGTATACTGATGTAGCAGAGCTCTGTTTATGTCTCCTTTCTACCTGCACTGTCTCGTTGAACTCTTTCTTTTGCACCCCTCTTCATCGTCGCTTTCCAATAGCGTTTCAGGGCCCCCCACTGTGTCCTTTTGATAGACTTCGTGTATTGTCCCAGACTCAGACCCGTTCAGCTGCTCAACGCTTTACCTTGGGCCTGTCCTACTACCTGCAACAGACAGTAAACAATTATCACCTAGTAGATAGACTCAAGCTTTGTTCATCTTCTCTGTCGTCACCTGACCAGTGGCCCAGGTGCTTGTCTGCTCATCCGGTCACCCGGGTCGTTTCACCCGGTCAACCGTGTTGAGACGCCCACGTCTTTGGGATGTGTTGAGTTAAGCACCGGCATCGACGGAATCGCACCGGGGTTTTGCTTCCAGAAATCCATGGACGGATGGCGGGTTAAAACGTGCACCTCTATTTCGTCTAACACGATTTTCGACACACCTTTTGCAGGTTTTCGGTCTTGACCGAAAACGTCCCACACAGGAAAGGAGACTCTCCTGAAACTGGAAGTGGAAAGACTTCCTGTTCGTATCCGGACAGGAAATGAACGTGTCAAAGGGATGAACAGGTCGCTTCTTCCTGTTTCAGAAGTGGCCCACACACGTGGCCACGTGGCCCAGCCCGTCTACGAGAAGGGCGGGGGGGTTCGCAGGGCGAAACGCCCAAGGACGGCTCGCCTCCAAATGGACCCGTATGGTTTGTTTCCTTGGTTTTCGTCGGTGTTCGCCGGGGTGCCAACAGAAGAAGCAACAAACACAACACGCAGTGGCTATAGTAGATGTCATTGGGCATCCCATGAAGGATTCGCATCTCCAGGTGAAAAAGAGACCTCAGTGGTTGGGACCAGACCCCATGGTTGCGAAAAAAGGTTGATTTCCAAGATGTCAATGGTCTTCGAATACCCGTTGAAATTTCCTTTAAAAAGTCAACCTCCCTTTAAAGAGCTTCGATATTGTAAAGAAAAAGTTTGCTTCCAGGTGCCCGTTTTTGTGGGGGTGGGGAGGTTGATTTTGTAAGGGCAGCATTCTTTCTTGGGGCTGTTGATTTTGTAAGGAATCGATATGTTGGTATGGATGTCAAAAGTGCCGCGCTGGTGAGGGTGGGGTCCTTGATTCTATGCAAGTTTGAGGGTGGGGTGGTTGTCATGGACAGTCGATTCTGTAATCGATTGACCTGCTGTAAAGCATGGACAGTTGATTTTGTAGTGGGTTGAGCTGCTGCAGAACATGGTCTTCTAAATTCTCAATAATTCGCATAATTTTTCATGATATATCATAGATAGGATATATTAGAACACACACACACACACACGCACACCAGGCATCCCAAGAGCCTCGTTGAGTCTCGCTGCTGAGTTGATGTTTAATGAAAGTGTTCTCTTTGAGCCCAGTCTATCCCACACTTCAAGGCCTTCTGCTGGAAGATCCTCTTTCTTCTTTGCCTTCTTTGGTGGAGGAGTATCCACACCTGCCGCAATTAAACATCTAGTGAGGGCTTCTGAAGGCACTTGTTTCTAGGTTAAACAGGTTTTTCTACTGTATCGAACCAGTCTGATAAACTCTGTCAAAAAGTCTCCCAACAGACCCATTGAAACCCACGCTTCACTTGCCTTCTGCTTGAAGACTCTTCGCCTTCCGCGCCTTCTTGGATGCTGGAGTTCCCGCACCTGCCGCAATTAAATGTCTATAGATGTCTAGTCAGGGCTTCTGGGGGTAATGGTTTCAAGGTGGACACATGAAGGATCATGAAGGTAAAAGTACCAAGGAAGATGTGAAACCTCAAAGTCCTAAATCTTCAACAACTCCCAACGCAACCCTGGAACCCCCACACTCCAATGCCTTCTACTAGAGGCTCATGCTCCACCTTCGTTGTCGCAGAAATTTCCCCACCTGTCACAAGTGAGCCGGGAGAGAGGGCTTTTGAAAGCCTTCTATCTAGGTGGATATCTACAAGCGCCGTACTTAAGTCAACCCACGTCGCGTGAAGTCAACTCACTGCATGGGCATAAGGTTTCAGCGAGAAGTCAACATCAACCAAGGGACCTGTGAACATCAACCAAGGGACCTGTGAACCTGTGAACCTGTAGCGATGAGTAAACCGAGACTGAGATTCTTGATTCTGTATAAGTGCCTCTGGATGCTCTCTTGGTGCCTCTGATGTTGTAAAACTGTTTCCTAGTGATAGACATTGGGATGCTTGATTTTGTAATCAACTGTTTGGCGCATTGGTCCGTGCTACTGTCTGATCGTATCGTATCGTCTCGATGAGGTCGCGCCGAATCATTACAAAATCGGTTGTTTTTCCCAATCCAGGTTTAATGATTGAGATTTTGTATCTTGTTTGAGGCCTCGGGGTGGTTGATTTTGTAATTGTACTGGGCCATGTCGACAGAGTGCCTATGATTTTGTAAAGACTGTATCTTGAGACTGGGACAGTTGATTTTGTAATATCGGCTTGAGAGTTGTCCCTTGCCTGCGCCCTGGGGGGTTTGATTTTGTAAAGCTTTTCAGATTGGCGAACCTGGGGTGGTTGATTCTGTGGACACTTTCCTTAAAAAATCAACCACCCCTACATACAGCAGGAATTCGAGGGGTATGTTTTCGATCAGAACGCACCTGGTCACCTAATTGATTTATACTTATACTTGCAGATCTATACGCATGCATTTGATATCTATCGTATCTATGGTCCGAAACCATCTCTAGACTTCCGTCTTTGAGTTCGATGAGCTCGACGATGAGAGAATGCTGAGGTATTCGCAGTGGCATGCAGAAATCTGGAAAGGATATCCATTGCTCATTGCTTGGTCTTGTGGCGGCATGGTGGCCTCTTGGCAGATCAGTGAAGGTCGGGGGCTGTTCCTGAAGCAACTCCTTGGCGCGGACGTGCACCTTCAGAGGTTGCCATGGGGGATGGTCGCCCCGTCCACTTCAGAATGGGCTCGTTGCTGGCAAAAGACACCGGTTTTGATCTGCAAGGTCGACCAACTGACGCACAAGTTACTTCTTCCGTTCAAGTGGAAGACAAAGAGGGGGTAATGAAAGGATGGACGGCACAAATCACACAAATCAACAGACCGCCTAGCCGACCTAGCCAACTCAACAAACCATGCTGGGCATCAAAGAATGCACGCATGTAACGTAGCTTGATGATGTGTGCAAGCTCGATGGCCTGACTTGTCCTGGGATGAGACCATTTCCAGAGCTTCTTCCTGTTCATCCGAAAGGGATGAGGTGGCTAACAGATGAGTCAAAACTCTTGAACAAAACGGGATTTGGTGCTCAAACTCATCAAAGGTCCATTCCACCGTCCACCATTTCTTTCGCCAGAGTGTTTGTCCAAGCCTGCTGGACATTCTCCCAGAAGCCTCTCCCAGTGGAGGGGGTTTCCTGACAGCGCCATCAGGTGGGTAACGAGGTCTATTGGGCTGGTGGCCCCTCTGACCCCGAGCTGATCCCCTATGCCTGGAGCCTGATTCAAGCCCGCGGCGGAGGTGCTTGATATTTTTGTTTGACCCATTCGATGCGTTCGAAGACTCGACCGTTTGGAGTAGAAAGTCGTTGTGTTTGAAAATGTTTGAACGAATATGGTTTGGTCCTAAAAAGTTGCAGACCTACACCTTTTTATGAGGTTTAGTAGTAAAGAGAAACGGTATCGCATATGTGTTTTTGGCACAAGTTTTGAAGAAGTAGGTAGATCGGGTAGGTGCCATGAGCTGGGGAGAAGGATGATCTCAACCATTTGATGCTCCAGATTCCACCTTCAAAGCCCAGCCCGGCCCCGGGAGGCTTGGAACGTTTCCCCCTGACCGCGGTGAAGAGCGGGCCTCATGACCTGCCATGCCCGTGGTGAGATCGGGGCCTTGTAGCATCCAGCTTCGGTGACGTCTCCAAAGATGGCCCTGGGTCATTGGTCGGCTCAGTATTTGAACCCAGCACATGATGCATCATGGTGCCAGGTCATGGTAGGTCATTCATTGTCATAGTCAAACATGTTCTCAAAAATGGCCGCCAGTTCTTTTGGAGGGTCACCAACAGGTTTTGGAAGTGATTCATCTTGCGCACTTTGTGGCGCAAGTCGCGGACAGCGTTGAACAAGTTGCTTCTGAAAGAAATGCGGCAAGAGCTGATGAAGCAGATGTTTGAAACCCTGGATGAAAAATCTGTGGAACCAACATGAAAGTGGAACCTTCGTAGTGATTTTTGCATGTTTGTGTCTCATTTTTGGGACCTTTCCAGATGCACAGGTTGCCAGGCGTGTTCAGGCACGGATCGACAGTGCAGTGCGGTCGGCAAGCAGTCGAGGCTCAAAGGGTGGAGCTCCAACCCCAACCGAACCGACATTTCTTATGATGGCACTGCGCGTGGCAGTGGTCCTATGCTCCTTGAGCTGGGCCACAGCACAACTCTCAGAAAGTGTGGACTGTGACCAATCCTTTGCTTTGCAAAGATGTTTGTTTGTGGTAGGTTGGTGTCATTGGGGGTGCACTTTAGGTGTGCACACATACGGCCACACACTCATACTATCTCATACTATAAAAACAATCATTGCAATGTTCAAGGCTTTTGCTCTGTCGGCAAGAACCCGTTGTATGCACGAACGTGCACATAACGAAAAATGTTTATAAATGCAACATGTGATAAGTTCATTTGTTTAAGTCCGTTTTCCCCATAACCCTTGTTGCTGGAGCTGAGAGTTTGGTGTTAGTATTCAGGTCGCTCTGAAGCTTGCGAGCAGAATATCCAGCAGAGCTTGCTGCAGCATTCCACATTGCTGTCGAAGGAGACGCACAGTCCGGTCACCGTGGATCCTTTGGCCGGGATTTGCGACACAGTGGAAACGCCTCCTTATTCACCTCATGCGGACAGGATCAACAACGGCAAATTTTATGTGACTGGGCGGTGCCGGACGACACGTTTTCAGTACTTGAGACCTGCTTTTTTCCAGAGGTGTCTTCAGGTGTGCCGTGGGTAGTGTGTATTGTGTAATGACTGACTTACTAAGTCTTCAAGCTGGCTCAGTGAAGCCACAGTTCGATGTGGATAAACTTCTATTGACAAAGCCAGACGCACATATGTCTAGATATTCTAGACGCAAATGCGCATCCGGTCCATGTGTGAAATTATTTGTTGCCCTGTACCATCGACCCTCTTGTCTGTGTGACAGGTCATTGCACTCGCCAACGACACGTTGACGAACCCTGTTTCGTACCACTACGTGGAGAAGTACAACTTCAGGACTGCTGGGGACTTCACGCTGTGACCGTCGGGTTCTTTGAGATCAAAACTGGCAAGAAGGGCGCCAATGGATTGGCTCCGAGCTTGGGGACTTGAAGGTTTGATTGAGGGGTTTTTTAGGATCAAGAAGTGGGGCCAGTTCGGAGCTGCGACGAATCGTGGCTGCCAATGATGGCAATATGTATTGTTTCTTGAGTCCAGGTGACTCAGTTGTATCTGACCTTTTTGAAGACATCTTTTTGACGCGACCTTTCGGAAAACATTTTGGACACGTTATAGTTGGCACATCCAATGCTACTAAGAGACTTACGTTTCTTTTGGGGAGGTCGACTGGTCGTCCACACATGGTCTTTCCACCACCAATGTCAAGGCCCCTGAGCCGCATAGAGCCTCGGAGACGTCAGGATCATTTTGGAGGGGCGCTTGGGGTCCTTTGAAGCTTGGTGGATGGACAACGATGACCCAACCACCAGGCCAGGCGAGGAGATGAGGAGAGGAGTCCAACTGGAGTCGGTTTGTGGCGAACTGAGTGCAGAGCGAGGACACCCGGTCGTAAAAAGACCTGTCATCCTGTGTCTCGATTTGGTCTTGCCTGAATACTTGCACAACACTCCTACCCAGCACCTGGTGCAACTGCCAGGTGGAGCTACTTCGATTTCTCGGCGAACAGCACACAACCGGACGCAGTTGCTTTGAAGGCCCTTGACACGGAGTTGTGCAAAGAGCGCCACTGCCAGACTCTCGGTGGAGAATTCGTCTTGTTTGCTTTGATTCCAAATTATCCAGGGATCAACTTTGGGGGGTAGAAACTGTGTAGCTTACACAAAGGGTGCATAATATAATACCGCAATCGGGAGAGATCATTTCTTAAGTAGTATGTAATTACATTCATTACAGTGTGTTTTTTTATCGTTGATTTATTTATTACTGTCAATAGGGATGAGGTCCCAGTATAGTTGCTATACAGGTACATGCCATATACTTTTGGCTCAAGTGCCCAACCAGGTAAAAAGGAGCTTTAGCGCGCGAGCTTCACATCAACCTAAGAGCTAGAACGGGGCCAGGGCACACCTTTCCATCCGTTCGCAGGTTATCAGCCGTATCCAGACTCCTTTGAGCTGGGTACGAGCCACGGCCTTACACAACACCATCTAAACGCACACGCATCGGATAGATCAGTTACCCTCAGTCACTGAAGATGGACCAATCCGACGCCAGCACTGCATCTTTTGGGGCAGCTGCTGCGGCCGCAGATCGGATGAGTGCATCCCACAACTCTAGTCCAGGTACGATCGAGGCGGAGACTCTGACAGTGGTGAGAGAAGTTGCGACAGGTAGAGCACGAAGTCGTTCCCCGTCAGCGCAATCGACACCACCGGGGGGGACACCGAGGTCAGGCCGTAGCCCTAGGGAGACAAGGAGGAGGACTGACACCGGAGCAGTGAGAGTGCTAGCATTGGAGGATGGGTCAACTGTACCAGTACCGTCGGACAGCGAAGCTGGAGATGGAGCAAGGGCAAGCACTGACAACCTACAACTAGCACGGGCCGATGGAGACCTAAATGCGAAGTGTGCACAACTACTTGCCGAAGTGCATATGTTGAACCACCAAAACGCATGGATGGTCGAATGTGAGCAGAGACAGAACCAGATTATACAACACGAGACCGAAGTCCACGAAGTAGTGATGGCACACCTCGAAGAATGTTATGTCGAAGGATATGGAAATCAACGAAGAATCTCCCAACTTACAGAATCCAGAGACTGTTTGCTCTCAGCAGCACACGATTTGCAATACCAGATTGACACTGATCGTGTGGCGATGCGGGATCGTCTCACCCAGCTAGGGGAGTACGCTGATCGCAACAGCGCAGAGATGGTTAGTCAAGTTGTGAACATCGGCACGGAAGAGATCCAGGCTATATCGGCCGAAAGAGATCGAGCCATAACCGAGGTCATGACTACAATCGCAGATGCTGAGAACGTCAAGGACCTGTGCAGGCAGGAGTTAGTTGGAATACAAAGGCAGAGTGCCAGGAACAAACACGAATATGCTGAAGAGATGAAGATGAGGGAAGCAATGTATACAAGCAAGATCAAATGGTTATCAGAAGAGAATGAGGAGCTCAACAACCGATCTAATAATCAGGACAATTTCATCATGACCATCAGGGAGCAATTGAAGAAGGCGAACGAGGAGTTGACACAGGCGAGGATTCAAGGATCCGATCGACCGTCTCAACCATCCAACGCCGAACTCAAGAAAGCCGAAGTCAAGGTGAACATGTTGGAAGAAGACATTCTACGTAAAGAGAGGATGCTGAAACGTCTTCAGGAAGAATTGATCGAATCAAGCGCAAGTGAAGCACAACTGAAGGTCGCACTGAAGTTGAAACCACCAGACATGGGATCAGAACCCAATGTGGAGAACGAGATGATGACCAAGCTTAGAGCGGAACTTGGACGTACCGAAAAGTCATTAAGGTCCGAGGAGAAAGAGGCAATGGAGTACTACGAAGGTATGATGCAGAACCAACAGGACATGATGGAATTCGAAGCGCATGCAGCACGGCTCAGAGATGAGAGGAATAAGTACCGGAGGAGGTACGAAGAGGAGCGCTTGAATGCTGAGCATGCGGCCGCAACCGAACATGGTGCCGCCTCATCCTCTAGCTCGGGTGGCTCCAAGATATCTCGGAAGGAACACGAGAAGATCAACATCCCTGCATGGCCCAAGATACACGACCTGGAGGTTTGGAAATCCCAGGTTGTAGCGGCAGTCGTGACGGCATCGGGCGACGAAAGACAAGAAGACTGGATCCAGTGGCTCTCGGATGCCTTCAGATCACCGTATGACCCATTTCTGCTCGAGACATCAGGCGAAGCAAGATTCGCTAGCATAGACGCTAAGCTAGGCATCACCCTACATACGATCATCCATGCAGCAGGTGAGAGATCTCATGACGTACAACTGAAGGTGAGGCAGATGATGCAGAGACGTGCGAGAGGCACAACTCCTGGAATGGTCAAGGGACGAGAAATGTTAGCGTTGATCGTCGATAGCTTCCGGAGTGCCGACAACGTCGATGTGATGTATGCATCCAAGCACTTGTTCGATCTAAAGTTCCCTGGGGATAATCAACTTTCCAGATTCCTTGGACAGTGGGATGAGATCATATCGGGTATGGATGCGGATGACATGCTTCCTGACAAAGCACTCCGCAACCTGCTTTGGGACAAGATTAAGGATTCCAAAGTTATGGCGTTAGACTTGTCCGTGTACGACAACATGTTGGATAAGGATCCGGATAAGACCTATCAGAAGCTACGAGAAATCATGGCGAAGTGGATACGGAAATCAATCGAGACCACAAACAAGAAAGAAAGGGAAAAAGCTTTTGGGAACCTCGTGAAAGCCACACCAGCGGCGGAGAAGAAGGACCCTAAAGCGAAACCCAAGAATACCAAGGCCGATCCACCGAAGCATGACGCCGCTCCAGTACTTCCTCAGGCTAATCCGAAGGACCACAACAAGAAGGACAAGAAGCAGGATCGTGGAAGATCAACCACGAAGAGCCCAAAGGGGGATCGTGGCAGGTCAGCGACTCCAGCAGATACGTCCAAGATAGGATGCGCCTTCCACTTCCATGGGAAAAACGGATGTTCTAGAGGAGACAAATGCAAGTTTAGTCACCAAGAGAAACACAAAAGTTCTGCTAAGAAACCAGAAAGCCTCAAGGGTGACAGATCAAAGAGTCCTGGTGGCAGGAGCAGTAGCCCTAAGCCAATGAAGGATCAGGTCTGTTGGAATTGGCAGAAAGGGTCGTGCAAGTTCGGGGACAAATGTCGACGTCAACATCACGCTGCTCCTGCTACAAAACAAGAGGCTAAAGGCAAAGCCAAACCCAAACCGGCTGCGCCAGCCTTCATGCTTTGCGGAGACATCGAGAGTGATGGCGAGGACGTGCAACCCGCACTTCCCAACGTACAACAAGGTAAGCTGGCGCTTCGCTTTAAAGTCAGATTCGATGACCGGGCGAATGTGACCACGTTTACCTGCGATCCTGGTAACGAACTAAACACCCGTCCCCTCAGGAAGAAGAAGAGTGAGGTGCAGAAGGTGGATACCGAGCTCATTTCGTCGTTGGGAGCCCTCAGAGTGAGCAATATAGCTGCGCGAGTAGCACATGCCAAAGGTAAGATGATGGAGCTATACTCTGCTGAACACATTGCCAAGGCATGGATACAAACCACTCAAGATGAAGGAATCGAGGTGAACGTCGACCTGTCTGATTTCAACACCAGCGAGATAGTAAGGAAGGATTCTGTCAACTACACGATACCAGGAGACACGATGTTCATGGCCGTGGAGAGGTACGACGGACCACCAATACGCTTCATCATGGACACGGGATGTGGACACGATTTGATCTCAAGAGAGAAAGTCAATGCCATGGGCCTTACCACCAAGGAAGGACCCAAATCCGTGAGCTTCATGACAGCGAATGGTGTAACTAGTACATCAGAGATGGTGGACATCAATGTGGACGAGCTACCCATGAGGTCCGAGGCACACGTGTTGGAGAGCACACCATCAGTCTTTTCCATCGGGAAACGGTGCATGGAACAAGGGTGCTCATTCATATGGCCGGCAAATCAGTTGCCATACCTCATCGACCAGAACGCGAACAAGATTCCGCTATCGGTGCATGACAACATACCCTACATCAAGGTGAATGATGATGACGGGAGATGTTTACCAAGACCAGACGGCTTGGCTACGATACTTCATCGCATACTGTCAGGTGTGGGGCATGAAGACGAAGCCACAGCAGGTCAGGAGACACAACAAGAGGAACTTCCGCCCAAGAAACCACGGAGACGGAGGAGAAAGAAGAAAGGTAACCAGAGAGATCGGGATGGTGAATCCGATATCAATCCAGCTGTTGCAGGCGTCGACGGAGAACCAGAGGGACACGGTGATGACTCTCCGGAAGAGGAATATGACGAGGGAGACCCGAGATTCGATAGTGATCACGATGGTCAATCTGAAGATGCCGGAGGCGACGAGTGTGGAGGTGATGCGGATTCTGAACGAGAGGAGAGTGACATTGGTGAAGACGAAGAGGGACTATTGGAAGTCGACGTGGTTGACGGGGAAGCTAGATTATCAAAACCAGGAGTGCTGAAGAACGAGGCGAAATCCATACTGCACTTGATGACGCACCGATACAAGAATCCATACTGCAAGTCATGTGTGAGAGCAAAGATGAAGCATTACAAGACTAGCAAGGGAGCTTTCAAACGGAAATTGAAGGCATTCGGTGACCTTATCACTTTCGATCTCATGAACACTCAGAAGATGGCGAGAGATGGGATCATGCCGGATAAGGATGTATTGGTGATTCGAGATCGGTTCACTGGTGTGATATGGGGCTATCCATTGAAAGCAAGCAATAGTGACGAAGTGGTGCAGGCGATGAAGCACTATATCGGTAAGAGAAAGGTCACTAACGCTTACTCGGATGATGCGCCACAATTTGAAGCAGCACTCAAGGAACTCCGGATTCCACTAGACCAGTCGCTTCCAGGACATCCCCAGAACAATTCACTCGCCGAAAGAAACAATCAGTTCATGATGCTTACCACATCGACATGCCTACTAGAAGCCGGACTACCACCATGTTTTTGGCCATTCGCAGTGGAGTGCGTAAGCCATTTGTTGAACACCGAGAAGCTGAGCGATGGCAGCAGTGCATGGTTGAAGTTGCACAAGAGCGAATTCCCAGGCATGGTGATACCACTT